CCCCCCCCCCCCCCCCCCCCCCCCCCTCCCCTCTCTCTGACGGTTCGGAACCCGGTTCTACACCGCCAGCGCCCACGCCTTGTCGGGTCGTTCGTAGCCTCCTGATGCCCGCAGAAGCCCCAGACACCGACGCCCAAAAAAAACAAATATTATAAACGGCGCTCTGGGTAAAGCACGCAATAAGTTTCCCACCAGCGGGCGGGGAGGGGAACTTGCCTGCCTTTAGCGGGAAGACGTTGTACGTGGCCACGCCCGTGATGTGTTTCTTGGTCGGGTTCTTAGCCGTGAAAAACGCCAGAGCTGTCTCCCCCGGAACCACCTACGCAGGCAACAACAGCAACAACAGGAGTTCCATCAACAACAACGACAACAAGGTTTGGTTGTAAGGCAAGGCGGAGTGAGGGGGTACGGGGCGTGCGTTAGTGAGTGACAAGTTGTAGTGTTTGGTTTTCAGATGTTGCCGCGTTGTTAACACTTATCTGAGAGAAAAACAAGCAATAGATCAGCGCCGTTTGATGGGGTCTAGTGCAACACGCGACATCGAATGCTACCGCCTGAACACGCTACCTCTCGAGCGAAAAACAAGCTAGATCAGGGCCCTTGAGGCTGGTCTCTCTTTGCAATACGCGAAATGGAATGTAGCTAGATCGTTGAAGGCGGGTCTCGTGTAACACGTAAAAAATTAGCTCCCGCGAACATCGTGGTACCCGCCTTGACGTCTGACTGCGTCGGCCTGAACTTCCAGGGCATTGTGTCCGCCGTACCACCGTCGAACGTCACCCGAATAACTCGACCGCCCTCAACCTGTTCGGAGTCGAATGCGTAGCGAAACAGCGAGCAGAGGAAAAGGGGGCGTGTCCATGCCTTAGCTGTTAGACCATTGGCCCCGCGTCCCCAACATGACGGAGCATTGTTCCCACAGCAGGACCGACCACCGACGGCTAGTCGTTCCTTCCTACTTTGCCCAAGCTCGATTTTTCATTTCCCCACCCTAGTCGTATCTATATCATCGATGTGACTCCCCCCCGTTTCAGTTCACGTCTATTGCGCCGGTACAGCTACCACAAGGAGAAGCGGGGAGTTCTCGCACGTGCAACACAGATGACAATAACACGGATGATGGAGGTGGTTCGCTGACCGCTGGTCCGTGTTCAAGGGTGCGAGAGTGAGTGAGGAATTGGACGCGAGAGAGGTTGGTACTAGGTGCCCGAGATTCACTCCTTGACGGGCACCCCAGGGGCATACGATTCGGCGGGAACCCCAGAAGGGTTGCGTGGTGTGTCACTTGTTCCCTTTCGATCAAGGTCTTGAGTCGACCATTTTCGTTCTCAGTCCTGCCTCTGATGTTACAGCTACATGACGCGGACAAGGACGAAAAACAGGCTTCATGCTTTCCGGCGCCCAGCACGAAAGGGTCGAGTGCTGTTTCGTGCGGCGGCGGCGGCATCGACGTGCCTATTCATCGTAGTCCGAGCGCAACTCTCTCACTCACCGGGCTCATCTTGAGAGCCTTGCCCGCGTCGGCCACCTGCGTCGTGCCCCCAAACCCTGTTACCTACAATACCCGGGGGACAGCAGAGGGGGGGCGGCGGCGGCGGTTATTGTCCACATCGAGGGAGACTACAAACCACAACTCCGCTGCTGCTTACCGCATATGACACAAGATAACACACCCCTTGACCAATTTTCGAAGCTCGATTTCTCAACTGCAGGAACAGTCACAGCGCCGAGAACGGTGGCGTTGAAACCGTCTCGTCGACAGCTTTTCGAAAATGTATCGTTTCGTTTGTTCATCCTCTTCGTCGTGGGGTAATAGACCTTTGAAAATCGGTCCAGGGGGTGTGTTATCTTGTGTCATATACGGTAGTCCACAACTCCACAAACCCACTGCAGTCAACCCTCGACCACAAACAAGCTAAAATCCAAGCTGTTACACGCAGGTGCTGTATTTTTCATTGCTGCCCCGAGAGCTATCACAGGGGTTTGACGGGAAGAGAGGGTCACACCGATTGAGGCCCACATACCTACATAAAGCGCCATCACATCTTACCCTAACCGCGTATACGTAAGAGTTGGACCGCCCCCCCGTCCGTCGGGGACTATTCTGCTGTGCGACCACCCGCTCCCCCCCACCTGACAAAAGACCTTGTACAAGGGGACGGCGGCGTAGCTAACCCCGAGGACGGCCGTCACGACGGAAGCCATGTAGATCGCCACTTTCCTATTCCGGGCCTTCAGCTCCGCGGCGCGCCCTGCCGCCGCTGGTGTGGCGTGGACAATTAGGGCCAGGGCCAGGTTTAGGGTGTGGTGCTGCACGATCAAGTAGGGTGTTAGGGATCAGGCCGATGGTTGTTGGTGTGAACAAATAGGGTTAGGCTTCAGGGTTAGGCTTAGGGTCAAGTCAACAGCAGGCGAGCGGGCGGGTGGCTTCTTGGGAGCGGCTTGTTCCTGCTTATACCGTAGGTTGCACAAGATATCACACCCCTGGACCGATCTTCGAAGGTCTATTTCTCGGCAAGGAAAGTACTATAGTGAACGTGCCGAAAATGGCGGAGCTGGAACCGTCTCGACGAGATCTTTCCGAAATCATATCCTTTGATTTCGATGTCCTCTTGGTTGTGGAGTTATCGAGCTTTGAAAATCGGTCCAGGGGGTGTGATATCTTGTGCAACATACGGTGTAAGAGTACATGCTATTGCAAAAGAGGACCTGCAAAACTAGCACACCTTGTTCACCAAGCAACAACCCTGTCTGCCGTCCACGCGCAGCAGGCACCCTCCCATGCAAAGAGTCTCCAGCAGGCAACGTACCGCTACACGCTGGCCTAGAGGCTCACCGGCTGGTAGCTGGGGTTTGACAACGTCTGGTTCCGCTTCATTTATTGCAACTTACACTTACGGTCGCCCCGGTGGTCTAGTGGGTAGCGTCTCAGCCTGCTAAGGGCCAGGTCATGGGTTCGAGTCCCGACAGACAGAGTTTTTTTCTCACTAAATAAATCCTGGTCTAGGATGAAAGCGACGCGCTGCAAAGCTCGTTTGTTAGTAAACCATAATCGACTTCGTAAGTCGCGAGGGAAGGGAACTGTACCCTTCTCGCGATAAAAATACCAGGCATGAACCGCAGTAGGGGTCCAACCCCCCCCTCCTATGTGACCCCGGTTGGGTCGTCTAGCGAGTAGAAGTGGAGGATAGGGGCCAGAGGGGCAGACGACAGAGTCCAATGATGGGAGAAAAACAACAACAACAAAAACTTACGTGCTGGTGAGGAAAGCCTGCTGAATATATCTGTTCGCTGACGCAAAAGGAGGTGTGATGAGGTGTTGCATTCAGATCGACCAAATACTCCGCCTGAACACATCACAGCGCCCTTTTGTCTGCTGCTGCCTCATGGGTTACTCGACAATACCACCACCTGACCTGCGCTGATCGACCTTGATGCGGCACGTGGTGCCCCAAGAACGGAAATACGGGAGGTAGACCCGGTCATCCCTCTCAACCACGCGCTGTGCCCTGGCTGTTGATGCTGGCGCCTTCGAAGGCTGGCTCTGATGACGGCGTGTTGTTGTTTGGGCTGGTTTGCTAGCAGGACGGAGATCGCCCTCGTCGAGCCGGCGGAGCGCGGTGCCACCGGCTGGCCAAGCAACCGCTTGCATGTCGAATGGCTTGCTGCACGCTTCAACATATCAACGACGCCTCTGCTCCCCTGCTTTCCCTATTGTCTCTGACTGCTGTTTCATGTGATGTGTGCGCGGGCGTCAATCCCGACCTAGGGGGCGCCGCGGTTGCGAGAACATGAATTGCGAGGGGGGGAGCAACTTCCAGGCGGACTTGTGTCACTGCTGTGTTGGCTGCTGTTCGCAGTCCGCTCTCTTCGGTCCTGTTTCTCCCTGCCTGTCCATATGCACGTCTCCAGAGAGCGTGGGTTCGTACAGAGGCTGCTACTCGGCGTGCTTTGCGCTGCAGGTGGGCTTCTCCACGAGAATAACGCCTTCTATCACCCGGCCGCTCTCGGGTCGATACATCGAACAGAACATGTCCGGAGCACTACCTTTCCCAGCAGCAGGTACTTTTGGTCAACGGTGGACAAGCCACACCTACAACAGAATGCGCACTACATGAAGGTTTGAGTGCTGTTGCACAGTTGTTGCACACGCGGTGGTTCGCGGTTTCTAGTCGGTAGTGCACAGACTCGCCATTTCTGAATGAGCGCTCGCCAACATGAACATCAACTTCAAAAGGCGACAGTCCCGTGGAATCTCACGGCCACTGTTTGTCTCGAGCAGGCCTCGTCGCCGGAGACTTGTTGTTGGCGTGGATCAGCTCTACGACCTTTACTGCCCGAGATACCAGTCAGTTGAATAGACACTGCTGTAGAAGCAGAACACACAAGACAACGTTCTTGTCTTTTCGTCATTTCAAGCTTGTTCCGCCGCCCACGCATGAACACCGAGCAACAGACCCATGTAGTCTACTGCAGCGTAGAATTTCATAGGTGGTCCGAAGAGAGTTTGCCTTTGCTCAGCGAAACGAAACGACGAAAGGGACGTGTGTGAGGTTCAACGATGCCTTTGAAATGGCACACGTACGTGTAAAGGTCGTAGAGTGGGAACCTGGAACAGTTTCCGACGGCTACTATGCATACGATACATGTAGATCATGTCGCGCTATTCCCGCCTGACCCTTGTGCTGCCTACCCTGCAGCGTTGCGCCCTGTTTGTGATCGTCTCGCTCCGTTGAATAATTTCGGACTATGCACCCCGTTTGCCCCGGCGCATCCCGCTTGGTTCGGGGTGGACCCCCCCCACCCCCCCCCTCCCTCTGTTCGCGAGACCCCCTCCGCCTGCCATCGATGATGCCCTTGAAACGACCGATGCTCCACCCAAAATCCATCAACAGCAGCAGCAGACGGGGCGGGGGAAGCAGCGGCGGGGGAAGCAGCCCAGGGGCACGGGTGAGGGTTCAGCGTGACCGCCGCACGCGGCTGTTCGAGAGCATCCGCGGCAACCGGGAGAAGATCGGGCGAGCGATGAACAGTCTGCGCGATGCGATGGTGAGGGGAGCCAGGCAGCACAATTTTCTCGCACGCCTCTGCGGAACCTGTTGGGCGTGTGCTACAGTACTGTAGATACGGATCAGCGAAGAGCTTCATCGTGCAGCTCCTATAATTTCCCGGTGGGTCTCCGACCTGCACAAATTACCTGGTGTCGTTGCGCCGAACGCCCCCTAACAAAACCGTCCGCTACTATTGTTGTGTTTGCTGTTTTTTTTGTCCGGGACTGGTGTGTGCGGTGGCGGGGGGGCGAAAGTAGAGGTCGGGCGATGAGGAGCTAGTCGAGAGACTGAAGGCCTTCATCATGCACCTCCGGAAGCGTGACCCCCAGTTCGCTACGCAGGACGCGATGGACGAAGCCCTTGAACAGGGCCTGTTCTCCACGGCCGCCAAGGTATGTTCGTGGGGCGTTTGTTTTTTTTTGTCATCGGCCGCGCAATCTTGTTGACCAATGAAAACGCATCATATTTCGTCGCACTCGTGATATAAATCATCGGCCGCGCAATCTTGTCGACCAATGAAAACGAGTCATGTTTCGTCGACCTCGTCATAGAAATCATTGGCGGCGCAATCTTGTTGACCATTGAAAACGCGTCATATAGCGTCGACCTCGTGATAGCTGGTGCTTCCTTTGGGCGATCTACAAGTAGTTCGTTGTCGCAGAACGTTGTTCTGCCCTTCCACGCTGTGCTAACTATCTCGCTGTCTGGCCTGTGGGGCCACCCCCGTTCTGCTGTCGTCCCGGTTCCAAACACGGGGCCCCGTCCGTCTCTTGCATGCTGCCGACACACCCGCGAAGCTCAAGCTCAAGCTGGAAGATATCAAACAGAACCCGTTCCGACATAGCCTTTTGGACGTTTCGGAGGATGGCGGCGGCGGCGGCGGCGGCGGCGGGAGCAACAGCGATGGCGGGGACACGTCGGAGGACATGAGCTGGGGTTTCGACCAGACATTCTTCGGGGAGGAGGGGGACAACATCGACGACGACCCAGACGACTACGACAACATATGAGGACAGGACACCGCCCGTCTACACGCCGAGGGAGGGCTCTTGCGGGCGGTGGCTGTTCCGATCAGCAGAGCTTTCTCGTTGTGGCTGTCGCAAAATAAGCAGGTGTTTGATAAACCTGAGTGGTTGTTTGCCTTGAAGGATAGAGCTGCTGGCGGCCTCCGTTTTTCAACACCTGCCTCACCCCCGTCAAGAAATCCATTTCCGGCTTAACACCGAGAGAATATTCGTTAGGGTTACTCCGCCAAGCGCTCCTCGAGAAAAGCGATTATGCCGATAATCATGTAGAGAATTTTCGTAGGGCTACTACCGGGCTCCCTGAAGAAAACGATTGCCGATAACTATCGAGACGTGGTATGCTCGACGCCTCGCAGGGTTTCGACAAGTTTTTTTTTCGCTTTTCGAGGGGGGGGGGTGAGGGAGGTAAGAGATGTAGCCCGAGGATGATTGGTTATAGACCGACCCTCCACGACTGCTTCGGCGGGAACTGCCTTAACGAGGATTTTATTTTTCATCTATGACAGGTATGAAATAGAGAGGTTTCTTATCTCTATCCCTGAAACAACCCTACCCTCCAACCCACACCCGTAACTCCTACAAATACCAAGCTCAAGCTTGATATCCTCGCTAAGGCTGCTGGGTTCGGCTGTCCACCCACCCGATGGTAATCCTGTTGTGGGGCCTCCTGTAGACGGGATCCGTCATGGATTGTGGTGCAGTCACGACTTCTCAACAGGACTTGTGGCAGGTATATATATATATATATATAGTCCATCCAAGACAATTCGTCCAATGACGGTTTGTGCGATAACTTTCGAAAAAAATCGAATAGAAACTTGAAACAACTTTGGCCGTGACGGCGGCGTCGAGTTGCGTCGATATCCGGTGAGCTTTTTTAATTCGGGTGTTTCGCGACATTTCGGCCCAAAATGATCCACGGTGCCCCCCTAACCCCCCATACCCTCATCATATCATGTCACGGAACCCCCTATACCCCCCTAGCCCCCTACAACACTTTAACCTATACAGTCATCCCCGCTTTAAAGACACTCTTCTTAAGGAAACTCCCCGCTATAAAGACACATTTTTCCCCAGAACATGGTGCCCCGCAGATGTACAATAATATAGGGGGGTAGCGTTTCCACTATGCGGCCGCCCCCCAAAATTTTGCTGGGGCAGCAAATCTGTAAGGCATTGTAACATCGACAGCGGTCTGCTGCAGCCCGCACTACTGCGTGTGGGTATGGAGAGATTCCTCCCATCTGCTGGCGGGTCGTCAGCTGCCGGCTTGAGGCCATGTGGCGAACCCACGTGCCAGCAAAAGTCTCAACTCGTGTCAGCGGTTCACCAGTGCCCGTGCGGGCGATCCATGCAAGCGTTTTGTGGTCGGGGGCATCGGAGAGGAAGGCTACGGACAGCAGAGAGAGTGCTCGGATTGCCAGAAGAGCAAAGGTGGAGACCAGGCTGGAAGCAGCAGCAGTCCCATGGAAGTGGTCAAGAAGATGTCCTTGCCGGAGAGGGCCAAGGACTTGGACGCTAGGTCCATGCCGCGAGTGTTGTCGGACAACTTGTTCGTCGAGAGCACCTCCGGCCTCACTGAACAAGAAGTGCGGAGCGCAGT